TTGGGACCTTACTTTCTGATATTTTATTTTTTAACCCCCCCCCACCAGTCTTGTCGCACTGGCGGGAAGGAGCATGGAAGATGCTTAAATTCAAGGGAACATCGGGAAGCTCATCACAATCTATTCGCATCTATTCGCAGATATTTGCACCTGTATCATCCCATCATAAATTTCCCTAAATATTGCAAACTGGGCTTAGGCTCTCAATTGAGATGGTGGGGCCACTTTATGGTTACCCTCAGGGAAAGTGCTTACATTTTTCTGTTTTCCCGTGGCACTGCCTCAGGCTGGAGATGGCAAACCGTCGGCTGCACAGCAGATTGCTTGGCTCTTGGTTTGTGCAGATCTAGGATTCTGGGAGCATTGGATTCATGTGGATTTTGGATACATTTGGAATCATTTGGATAATTTTGGATATTTTTGGATATGTGTTTGGAATATTTTGAAATATTTTGAATGATTTTGGACTTGACTGGGGAAGAGCTGCATTTTGACAGTTTGAAATCAGGAGTTGGGACCTTACTTTCTGATATTTCATTTTTTAACCCCCCCCACCAGTCTTGTCGCACTGGCGGGAAGGAGCATGGAAGATGCTTAAATTCAAGGGAACATCGGGAAGCTCATCACAATCTATTCACATCTATTCGCAGATATTTGCACCTGTATCATCCCATCATAAATTTCCCTAAATATTGCAAACTGGGCTTAGGCTCTCAATTGAGATGGTGGGGCCACTTTATGGTTACCCTCAGGGAAAGTGCTTACATTTTTCTGTTTTCCCGTGGCACTGCCTCAGGCTGGAGATGGCAAACCGTCGGCTGCACAGCAGATTGCTTGGCTCTTGGTTTGTGCAGATCTAGGATTCTGGGAGCATTGGATTCATGTGGATTTTGGATACATTTGGAATCATTTGGATAATTTTGGATATTTTTGGATATGTGTTTGGAATATTTTGAATGATTTTGGACTTGACTGGGGAAGAGCTGCATTTTGACAGTCAATATTTCATTTTTTAACCCCCCCACCAGTCTTGTCGCACTGGCGGGAAGGAGCATGGAAGATGCTTAAATTCAAGGGAACATCGGGAAGCTCATCACAATCTATTCACATCTATTCGCAGATATTTGCACCTGTATCATCCCATCATAAATTTCCCTAAATATTGCAAACTGGGCTTAGGCTCTCAATTGAGATGGTGGGGCCACTTTATGGTTACCCTCAGGGAAAGTGCTTACATTTTTCTGTTTTCCCGTGGCACTGCCTCAGGCTGGAGATGGCAAACCGTCGGCTGCACAGCAGATTGCTTGGCTCTTGGTTTGTGCAGATCTCGGTTTGACATTAAAAAAATCCTTTTTTCAAGAGAATTTTGAAAAAAAATCGAAAAAAAAATCTGTTAAATTTCATTCCAATACCTTGAGAATGAGCCACTGAATGTTTTAAACCTGTTTGTGAACATAATTTATGGATAAAAAATTCCTTTTTTCAAGAACATTTTGAAAAAAAATGAACAAAATCTGTTAAATTTCATTCCAATACCTTGAGAATGAACCACTGAATGTTTTAAACCTGTTTGTGAACATAATTTATGGATAAAAAAATCCTTTTTTCAAGAACATTTTGAAAAAAAAATAAAACAAATCTGTTAAATTTCATTCCAATACCTTGAGAATGAGCCACTGAATGTTTTAAACCTGTTTGTGAACATAATTTATGGATAAAAAAAATCATTTTTTCAAGAACATTTTGAAAAAAATAAAAACAAATGGCCATCTGCCCGGAGCCAGCTCTGCACAATAAGGAGCACAACAGGGAGACACAACGGGAGAAAAACAACGGGGAAAGTGATGCAAAATGAGAAATGTCACTTTTATAAATTTTAATACTTTTTAAAAACAATGAAGACGATAGGTCCCCACAAAGAGTGTTTGGGGACCTATCGTTGTTTGAGAAAAAAATATATTGGAAAAAAAACTTTTAATATTTTTTCATTTTTTTTTGACCAAATATGTGCTTTTGTAACATATTGAAAAATTAAAATTGTGCATATGTGCTGAATAATTTGATATTTTTTAAAAAATAATTTCTATCCATAAATTATGTCCACAAACAGGTTTAAAACATTCAGTGGCTCATTCTCAAGGTATTGGAATGAAATTTAACAGATTTTGTTCATTTTTTTTCAAAATGTTCTTGAAAAAATGATTTTTTTTATCCATAAATTATGTTCACAAACAGGTTTAAAACATTCAGTGGCTCATTCTCAAGGTATTGGAATGAAATTTAACAGATTTGTTTTATTTTTTTCAAAATGTTCTTGAAAAAATGTTTTTTTTTATCCATAAATTATGTTCACAAACAGGTTTAAAACATTCAGTGGCTCATTCTCAACGTATTGGAATATTCAGACACAAGGTGGTTAAGGCATTGGCTGGTTCACACATGGGAGACCCTGACTGTTGTTTCTTACATTTAAGATCATTTAAGAGTCATTTCACCATCGGCCATTTGCCGCTGGAGGCATCTCTCAAGGCGGACCCTGGAGCTTCAACTGCAAGTGCCAGGGCCCTTACTTTTTTTTCCCTGGTGCAAGTTGAGGTGCCCCAACTCTTTTAAGACATAGAGGTGCAGCAGGTAGTTTCACAAATCAGTTTCCAAGCCTCACTGGCCAAAATTACATTTTTTTGATGCCCTTGGAAGTCCGAGGCAGTTTCTACCAAGAGCACAGAAGGTGGAGAAATTCCCGCAGCTGAAAAGGCCTGGCAAACATTGGCTGCGAATGGCAGTGCTTACACCTTTTAGAGATTCGCTGAACTTCAGACAACATCAGACAAAGGTTTTTAAAAGAAATGTGTGGACATGAGGTGGCTGGACGATTGGCTGGTTCACACATGGGAGACCCTGACTGTTGTTTCTTACATTTAAGATCATTTAAGAGTCATTTCACCATCGGCCATTTGCCGCTGGAGGCATCTCTCAAGGCGGACCCTGGAGCTTCAAATGCCAGGGCCCTGACTTTTTTTTTGGCCAGAAATGGTCTTTTGATGTCTTTTGAAGAAATGTTCAGACACAAGGTGGTTAAGGCATTGGCTGGTTCACACATGGGAGACCCTGACTGTTGTTTCTTACATTTAAGTTATTTCACCATCGGCCATTTGCCCCTGGAGGCATCTCTCAAGACGGACCGTGGAGCTTCAACTGCAAGTGCCAGGGCCCTTACTTTTTTTTTCCCTGGTGCAAGTTGAGGTGCCCCAACTCTTTTAAGACATAGAGGTGCAGCAGGTAGTTTCACAAATCAGTTTCCAAGCCTCACTGGCCAAAATTACATTTTTTGATGCCCTTGGAAGTCCGAGGCGGTTTCTACCAAGAGCACAGAAGGTGGAGAAATTCCCGCAGCTGAAAAGGCCTGGCAAACATTGGCTGCGAATGGCAATGCTTACACCTTTTAGAGATTCGCTGAACTTCAGACAACATCAGACAAAGGTTTTTAAAAGAAATGTGTGGACATGAGGTGGCTGGACGATTGGCTGGTTCACACATGGGAGACCCTGACTGTTGTTTCTTACATTTAAGATCATTTAAGAGTCATTTCACCATCGGCCATTTGCCGCTGGAGGCATCTCTCAAGGCGGACCCTGGAGCTTCAAATGCCAGGGCCCTGACTTTTTTTTGGCCAGAAATGGTCTTTTGATGTCTTTTGAAGAAATGTTCAGACACAAGGTGGTTAAGGCATTGGCTGGTTCACACATGGGAGACCCTGACTGTTGTTTCTTACATTTAAGATCATTTAAGAGTCATTTCACCATCGGCCATTTGCCGCTGGAGGCATCTCTCAAGGCGGACCCTGGAGCTTCAAATGCCAGGGCCCTGACTTTTTTTTGTCCAGAAATGGTCTTTTGATGTCTTTTGAAGAAATGTTCAGACACAAGGTGGTTAAGGCATTGGCTGGTTCACACATGGGAGACCCTGATTGTTGTTTCTTACATTTAAGATCATTTACGAAGAGAGGTAAAGACTGAAAGCAAGGCAAATATGTAAAACGTCCCATGGCATCATAAGAAGACGTAGAGCCGCCTACCTCCCTTCCCCTCTTTCCTTCTCCTCCACCCTTCCTCTCCACCTCCCTCTGCCTTCCCTCCTCCTCTTCCTCCTCTCCCCTTCCTCCCTATCTTTGATCCTTCCTTCCTCCGTCCTCTTGCCTCTCTCCTCTTTCCATTCCTTCCCTCCGCCCTCTCCTTGCTCCTCCTGACGTTCCCCCCCCTCGAGCCTCCCTCCTCTTCCTCCTACTCCTTCTCTCCTCCTCCCCCTCCTCCTCCTCCTTCTACCCTTCCATAAGAGCGATCCTTTCACACCATCTGTTCCCTTTTGCCGCTGGATGCATCTCTCAATGCGGACCCTGGAGCTTCAAATGGCCAGGGGCCATGAACTTTTTTTTTGGCCAAAATGGTTCTTTTGATGTCCCTTTTGAAGAAATGTTCAGACACAAGGTGGTTAAGGCATTGGCTGGTTCACACATGGGAGACCCTGACTGTTGTTTCTTACATTTAAGATCATTTAAGAGTCATTTCACCATCGGCCATTTGCCGCTGGAGGCATCTCTCAAGGCGGACCCTGGAGCTTCAAATGCCAGGGCCCTGACTTTTTTTTGGCCAGAAATGGTCTTTTGATGTCTTTTGAAGAAATGTTCAGACACAAGGTGGTTAAGGCATTGGCTGGTTCACACATGGGAGACCCTGACTGTTGTTTCTTACATTTAAGATCATTTAAGAGTCATTTCACCAGCGGCCACTTGCCCCTGGAGGCATTTGTCAAGGCGGACCCTGGAGCTTCAACTGCAAGAGTGGGGAGCCCAGGGCTGTAGGCTTGTGATATCTCATGTGCAAGTGCAAAAGTGCAAGAATCTTGAGATTGTCTGAGAGCACCAAAAATCCTGCCGGCTTTTGGCTTCAGAGCATCTCAATACCCTCCAATAAGTATCTTGTGCTATTGTAGTTGTGCGCCCCATGTCGCACAACTTCATGTCTCCAGACCCACGTGCTCGATCAGTGAGTGCTCCAACCCTTCGGTTGACGCCAAGTCTTCATGCAGGGCATCAGCAAGATGACAGCCAATCTGATATTCAAGAGATTCAAGCTGACAGTCAGCCAGAGGGTGAGCCAGGGGCCGAGAGTCAGAAGGATGCAGTTGACAACAGTCCTTCAGATTCAGAAAGGCCACTTTTTGGCTTTCAGCCGATTCCGCCCATGAGCTCCCAAGATGCAATGGGAGTGCCCATCCCTGTGCCGAGTGAATCATTGGCCCCTGGAACTCCTGGCACACCAGTGAGAGGAGGACACGGAGCAGTTGAAGATGCTGCCAGCACTGCTGCTTCGGCGCCTGTGCTTGACCAGATTCATACGACGCTCCAAAGTTCAGCTCAAGTCCAGCTACAGATCCTTGCAGAGTTGAAAGCCATCCGTCAAGGAATGGACCGCTCGCGATCACCGGCACGGCGCTAGACACTGTGTGAGGGAAGGATGAGTGTCGCACTTGTCCACTGATTAGGTTTTTACAGCTGCCTATACAAAGTCAGGATAACAGGCTAGCTTGTTTTTGTACAAGGCTTGTCAGTGCTGCATGATGCTACAGCGCAAGATTCAGCAGTAGTTGCAGCCATGCCTACTTGCAAGCTGGCAGTCGTGCATAAAAAGGTGCTTTTTCATCTGAAGCATGCTTCAGCGAGGCAAAAAGTCATATATTGAGATATGTTGAGATCTTGTGATATTATATGATGGATTGTGATAATATGATACTATAGTAATCTATAGTATGTGAATGTATGTAATATGATGTGATACACTGTGATCCTTTCTAATTCCAACTGGGTCAAGCTGCAGGTCAAAGCGGAACGACCTGCTGCAAAAGACGACCTGGAGGCACATTTTGTTTTGTCCTATCCTTTTCTATGCCATCCTGTGCCAATTTTCTGATGATCGGTGTTCCGATAAATTGTGGTGCATTGCACAAGTTTAGGCAATATATGATATGGCAATATATTGCAGATTTGTGACTCACCGCTACCATCCTGTTTTGTGATGGTGGCTACCGACTGGCAGGACCCATTCTTGATTCCCATCAGTCTTCGCAGGCCAGTTGAGGTGGGCCACTCTGAAAGCTTTTGCTCAGCAAGCCATCTAGAGCCGTGATGAGCCATGCATAAAATCTTGTTGTTGTATGTTGTTGCATAATGTTGCATACCTCTTGGCCTTCTGATCGATCTATTGTGATAAATGAGCCTTGAGATGTCATGAGAACATTTGAGCCCCACGCAGCATAGGTTCTGGAGGAAGCTTTGGAGAATTTGCGGGACTCCGACAAGATTACAGCAGAAGAGAGGAGCTTTGTGAAACGGATGTGACTCGACATGCAGGGTTCAAGACGTATTGGTGGAATTATATCAACAGCAGTATACAGCAGTATACAGCATATAATGTAATACTGCAATATGTAATAATATGTTATATATATTATGTTATATAATGTTATACATAGGTTCGGTGGTCTCTTGCGACCTGCGATGTGTTCCAGTATGCTCAAGATGATCCCAGAATATTCCAGATGTGTTTTTCCAGCTCAGGATCCAGAGAAGAAATTTGCAGTGCTTGTTCCACCTTTGCAGTGACAACACGCAGTGCACGTTCTACAAGATTTGCTGCTTCGAAGCCTGTGCCTTCATCAACTTTGCTGAGAGTGGGGTTGCAAATCCGGTGTGTGCTTGGGAGGGCATGGCTGACCATGAACGCCAGGACTGGATTCCGGTCAGTGACAACCCTCAGGACTGGATTAAAGAACGGCCGGACTGGAGGGTCAAAATTCTATGGACTGGATGGCCCATGCTGTGTGCCAGCAATGATCCCAACCTGCCAACATACCCTCCGTTGTGGAAAGCATTGACCCCCACGACACAGATTTCACAGGAGAGCTTGGAAAGACTTCAGACCCTTCTCAGGAATCACAGTGAGACCTTTGAATTCAAGGATGCGAACTTTCTGAAGGACTTGGAAAACCACGTTTTGCAGGTTCATGCTTTCCACACCATTCGGATGGACTTCATGATGGATTTGGGACAAGTGATGCATGGCTTAGCTGCGATGGCAAAATCAGCTTGTGGAGATCGGTGGGTGGAAGATGTGGTCCTGCAGAGTTGGAGCATTGCAGAACGCTGCGACAAGTTCTCACTTTTTCCGCGGGCTTCATTGATTCTGACAGTGCTGCATGACAACAACCACTGGGCATTGCTTTGTATCCTTGTAGGCCAGGGGCTGATAAGTTACCATAAGATAGATTATGGTGATACATTACAATATCATCTGGTACATATGACTTTTACTGATGCCATATGAAGCGAAGATATGCGAAGATATATTATTTTCTTAACGTATATATACGTATATAGTATATGATGCACGCTGTGAAACGTGGTTACACAGTCAGTATGACATGTGAGATATGATGGTTTTGATGATTCTGACACGGAAGGGGCACCACATCCTATTGACATTCAGTTTTGATATGTTTTGATACATCATGATGATGCTTTGCCATGCTTCGCCACCCCTGCAGGAAATGAGGAGGTATTCTTCTATGATGGAGCGCCGACAAATGGCACCAGAGAAGCCGCACAAGTTTCTTGTGTCTTCTGGAGCCAGATGCTGAAATATGAGCTGAAGCTGATGGATGCCACAGTTCCTTCTCAGTCTGACTTTTGGAGTTGTGGCCATCGTTGTGTAGTACATGCAGGCTACATCCTTCAGTACTTGCAGGGCAATTCCTGGAAATCTTTGCCGCAGTCCATTCCCAAAGACGCCGTTTCCACTACAGCTTTTCGAGCAGTGTGTGAGGTGCAAGTGCAAGACGTGCCAGAAACCAGGGCTTCAGAATGCCGTAATGAACCAGATGATGACAAATATGTGTCAAAGGTCCTGAAGCAAATTGCTCAGAGACAGGAAGCGAGAAGACAGAGATTGAAAGAGCTTGAAGCTCTGGGTGTTTCTACTGCTACTGGACAGGAAGGTGGCAAGACTGCTCCATCTAGAAAACGGAAGCAGAAATCACCCAAAGAAGGGAACCAAGACGAAGATGATGCTGGAATCGCGGCAAAGAAGTCTAGACAAATGTCTACCAAAGAAAGAGAACATGCTGCCAGGGCGATGGAGAATGAATTGTCTGAGAAACATCAGTTCACACACAATCATAGCTTCCAGCGTGAACATCGCATCAGAAAAATCTTGATGCCTAGGGGACACTGGCAGCAATTCCTCCTCGATCTCCATGACAATGCACCAATGGGGTGCGAAGCTTGCAGAGAATGCCGGAAACTAGTGGGCAGCGAACCAAACCAGGCAGATGCACCTCCGCTGTTGGACGGTGATGATGGCTCAGCAGCTGATGCAGATCAAGGAGTTCCTCTGCCTCCGCCTCCACCCTCGCAATCTGCTCGTGCACGTGGGCGGCCCAAAAAATCTGCTGCTTCCTGGCCAGGGCTCAAAAATTGGCTAGAGAGTACACGCCCAGGCATCTACCAAGTGGTGGAAGAAGACAGCTTCCAGTGGCTCTGCCGACTGTGCAACCAAGTCTTGAAATTTCAGCGTGATGCCGACACTTTTGTGAAAGCGCATGAGAAGCGTGCGCTCCACATTTCACAGCTTGCTGCATTGAAGGCAGGAGCCGAGGATGCACTTCCGAGGCCGGAAGAAGTTGCAACAGCATGTCAGGGTGTTGACATTTGCAACGATTCCAGATTGGCCCCTGAGTTGCACAAATTGCAAGCTTCCATTGCGGCTTGGATTGCTGGTGGCTCGCCTTTGGCCAAGGGGAACGGCAACCCATTGGGCCTTGCTTCCTTCACATGCAGCCAAGATGGAATTACTTTCCGGCATGTTGAGTGCGAAGGGAAAGTCACGGTTGGGCTTTGTCCTAAATGTTACACTCTGTCGCGCAATTCATCTTTCATCGCTGACTTGAAGCACTGGGCTTGGAAGTTGGACCTGGTCCAGCTATGCAATCACATGGTGATGAACAATGATGATGAGATCCGTGAATTGGCAGAGGCTGTCGCCAGCAGGGACTACTTTGACCCTGAAGTGCACAAGCCCCAGCTTGACCAGTTGTTGAAGATGAATCCTGCTGATGCAATCGGCAACATCCGCTATGGAATTTTGTCAATTCCTCGGATTCGCCGAGCACCATCCCTGCAAGCCTTGATTGATCTTCGATTGTCAGATACACGCCAGCTTCTGCCTACTTCAATGGAGTCAAGCATTTTTTCCACCTTGATGCAAAAATTTCAGGGGGCTGTGCAGAATGGAGTGTGCCATCGAAAAGAGTTCGAGATGGCTTCGATGATTGCTTCGGGGAAGCTTCGTGCCGAGCCTGTGGTCGAGGCTTTGTTCAAGAGCACTTTGTCCCGCTTGAGCAAAATCAGCAACGGAGCCCTCCAGAGAACTGGCACATCAGAGTTCTTTGCCAATGGGTTGTCGATGGACTTGTTGCTGCTGCTGGGGAAGTCAAAGGAATCGCACAAATTGCTGCAGCCACTTGAATTTGCAATTAGAAGCCTGGTTTCTGATGTGCTGTTTATCTTGTATATTCTTGATTATTCTTGTATATTTTGATATATTCTGTTATATTGTGTTAATTTCTGTTATAGTCTGTCAATGTCTGTCATGTTTTGTCATGTTTTCTCATGTCCTCTCGTCTTTGAATTCGCCATTTTACAAAGGCTGATGGGCGTGAACCCACGTGTGATCCCCAAGCTGGACCTGCGCTGGGAGCTCTTGCCACAACCGTTTGTGGCCTGCAGGGATTTAGACATTTTGATGCAGAATTGCAAGGTAGTGCAGCAACTTCTTCAAGTGGAACCACAGCAGCGTTCGTGGATCCTGACTTGTGATGAGACCTGCTGGCATCCGACATTGGACCTGATCGCCGGGTTGCGAGATGAGCTCGGATATGTCGGCGGGTATTTTCACAAGGCTGACGCCGAGCAAGACCTCAGTTTCCTCACTCTCGACAAAAAGAAGAAGAACCTGTCTGACTCTGACTTTGAACAGCTTGCCCGACTTTCACAGCACTATGCAGCTAGCCAGCAGGTATCATATATTATCATTCATTATGATATACTCTTATTTGGGATATTTTTGAACATTATTTCAACATACTGTAATTCTTTTATTTACAATTATTTTCATGCAGGCCAGATTTACCAAGAATTCCCAGCCCAGTATACACATGCTATCAGTTTCCTGTCAAAGCCTATCAGTAACTTGTTTATGCACATGCGAAATCAGGTCATCACACGGTGTGACACCAATGTGCACTCCTATGCTGTGGACTTCATACCTCGGCCACCAAAAGCAGCTGGCATCGTGGGAAATGGAGCGGAGAACACCTTCTTAGAGTTTGGCCGTTGCCTCCTTCAGGCCACCATTGCCAATGGAGGTGTGCCGCCAATTGGGGTAGCATATGATGCATCTACGGCACATGTCAACATCAACAAGGCGTTTTTAGGTTTGGCGAGCCGATCTGATCTGGAGAAAGCTGAATTCTTCTCAGACTGCTCCGTGCGCGGCATCAAACTGAAATGCTTCAAGTTTGGTTGCCTTCTGTACAAGGATGGGTTTGGTATGATTTGGATTGATTTGATTATATGATGTTACATGTGGTTTCTTTTTCCTGGGCTGGGGTCCTGAAATGTAATGGTAAGTCCTCAGGGTCTTGATTACTGCACATGTATGGTGAGGCAGTGGCCTGAAAGGACATATCCATATTAATATCCACAATGTCATCCTGCCATCATATCTTGCTAATTTCCTCCATATTCTGCCATACCCTGTATGTAAATGTTATTTCCGTATATCTCCCTATATCTCCATCTATGTCATTTTCCCTCATGCACAAGGTGGGGTCCCGAAATGTAATGGCAAGTTGTTAGGGTCTTGATTACTGCGCATGTATGGTGAGGCAGTGGCCTCAGAAGGCACATCCACAATATTCAAGTATGTTTCTGTTATATACTGGACTGGGGCGGAAATGTATTGTTTTTTTAAGAACCTGGTACGGCATATAATGATTTGGTTATATGATGTTACATGTGGTTTCTTTTTTCTGGGCTGGGGTCCTGAAATGTAATGGTAAGTCCTCAGGGTCTTGATTACTGCACATGTATGGTGAGGCAGTGGCCTCAGAAGGCACATCCACAATATTCAAGTATGTTTCTGTTATATACTGGACTGGGGCTGAAATGTATTGGTTTTTTAAGAACCTGGTACGGCATATAATGATTTGGTTATATGATGTTACATGTGGTTTCTTTTTTCTGGGCTGGGGTCCTGAAATGTAATGGTAAGTCCTCAGGGTCTTGATTACTGCACATGTATGGTGAGGCAGTGGCCTCAGAAGGCACATCCACAATATTCAATTATGTTTCTGTTATATACTGGACTGGGGCTGAAATGTAATGAAAAATGGCCAGGGTCCTGATGCTTGCTCATGTATAGTGAGTCAGTGGCCTCAGTGGTCACATATACAATATCATTTTTCCAATATCTTCCAAAATCTTTTGTATGTGGCCAAATTTTGCCCACAATTGTCCGTTTAAGTGCATTTATTGTTCCCTAGTTTGCGATATGTTGCCTTATTTTGCATTTTTTCTCTGTTTGTTATCGTTTATTTTTGATTCCTGCTTTGGTTCTTGGATGGGATGGACAGGGGTGGACTTTATATGTAATTGCTAACTGTCAGGTTCCTGTTCCAAACACATATGCATTGTTTCAACCACCTCCAGGACTGCAATCACATTTTTTTTGGCCCATTAGCATCCCATAGATTCCCATAATGTAATCAATCTTTTTAAGGGTTTGTTTCGACTGTTATGTCCTTGATTGTAAGACCCAAGCCTGCCAGATTACAGAAATACAATTGCTTTGTTCACACCTGGTCACAGCATGTCAAAGCATATTTTGCCCTGATTGCAGGACAAGTATGCAATGTGTGGATGTCTTGACCCAAACCACATCATCAAAAGATTGTGCTACCACGTGGCAACTTCTTGCAGGTATGTGAAGTTTGGATCATTTTGCGTGGAGCTTTCAACGTTGCTGAAAGGTGGACTTCCTGCACGCGCCTACGCATCTGTTGATATCCAATCTGATGTCGATGCTGCGAAGAAAATGTGCCCTGCATATTTGCGCGGGCATCCATTGGAAGACGGATGTGTGGTGGCCATGGTGGTTCAATGTTTGATCAGTTCCTGCTGGGGGGCATCGCAGAACATGAGTTTCTTGTTTACTGTATCATACTGTATCCAAAGGTCTTTTGACATGTTTTGACTGTTTTTGATATGCTGTACCATGTTTTTTAAAAAACAATTCAACATTTAACTTTTTCAAGGATAAGGTGACATGATTGGTGGTTGTGGGATGTTGTGGATTGTTTTGTTTCATTTTTGGTTTGAATGTGTTTGAATGTTTCAGAATGTTTCAGACTTGCCCTGAGGTTTGAAGATGGTTTTCGAGAACAGCTTGATCGCCTACTACATTCTCCTCCTTTGCTACCATGCCAGTGTGAAGGAGGCAGGGAAACTCTGGAATCGGAGGTTTATGCCGCTGACAACATTGAAGAACTTGTGCTATGCCTGTGCCCACTCCATCATTGCTTGCACGAACTGGGATCCATCAACCCCTTGGAGGCCAGCTTCCCGGACAGAAGCCCCATGTGAGTACCATTTTGCACAGGTCAAGAAGCACTACCGTGGAAATCCATCCGTCAAAGATGGCATTCTTGGTTGCCAACGTGCCCACCTAGACCAGTTTCGGGACCCACAAACTTTGCGGAGCAGGATTGGGAAAAAGAGCAAAGCAGTGGAGCCAATTGGCATTGAAGAGGCCGAGAAGCTCTCGGAGCTGTGTTTCTCACGGGCTGTTCAGTTCTTTTGCTGGATTTCCGTCTCGGAGGCCAGTTTGAAGGGTGATTATGGGTGATCTAAGGCATCTTTGACAACCTTTGGCTTTCATAGTATTTCAAAACAGTTCTATGATGTTCGATGTATTTTATAGATTTATAATTTATATACATTATTTCACAGGAAAAAGTCAGCAAGAGTTCCCCTATGCCAGCTTGCTGCATCCTTGTTCACAGTTCCCATTGCCTTTGTCAGGAGCCTGAAAAGATTCGGAGCACCTTTGAAGCATGGTGGGACAAGAACGGAGTGAAGTTCTTCCAAACAAATTCTGGTGAGTCTGGTGGTTTCGACGGATCTGAACCAGATGATTTGGAATTTGAGGAACTTGCCCACCCCGAGGAGTATGAGAAAGAGATCATCGAAGAAGTTGACATAGATGAAACCGAAGAAGAGCTCAGTGCTTTGCAGAAGGTTTCTTGGTTGGAAGACCGGTCCAAAGTCCAAGAGGAGGTAGAAGCATTGCAAGCGAAGTGTGTTGAAGAACGTGGAGCATCAAATGCTGCCCCTTCACCGGCCAATGACAGCGAGGTGAGCCATGCCCCAATCTTGGAGGGGATGAACTTTTCTTCCATCTTGGCCAAGTTCGAGTCCAATCCACTGTTTGACTTCACGCAGGATGCTGCCCAAGGAAAACATGCATGCCTCCAGCGGATGGCTGCAATGAAACCCGCCTTGCTTGACTTCGTCCGTTCCGTCAAGATTGCTGAGGGTTTCCTGAGCAAGACTCAAGTATGCGATGAGAAGCCGCCTCAGAAAAACCAGTGGAATGAGATGATGAGTGAGTTGAGCCGGGCAAAGCAGTACGCGAGATTCAGAGGACTCAGAAGCAGCAGATTGGCATCTTGGATGAATGCCCAGGAAGACTTGCACTCCCATGCCACCGAGAAAGGCTTGCAAGAGGAAGATTGCTCAGAAGGGCTTCTGAAAATTGAAGTCTTCAGACCTCTATCTTCACCCTGCGTGCAGTTCATCCTCTACAAGAGTGAGGGGCCCATGGTTGAGTTCCACTTGGGTATGGTGCTTTCGATTTATCGGGGATCTGTTTCCAAAAACAAGACAACAGACAGGAGAATGACTATCAGCAAGCCTTTGCCTACTGCTGCGCCAGCCTCCCTCGTTGCCAAGCTCAGAGTGGTGCAGATGGAAAAGCTGGAGTCCACGACGATGGTTGCTTCGGGTTTGTCGCCCCAGGCATTGGTTTCAGTGGAGGATGTTTGTGGTGAGGTCGCAGCATTGGAGGAAGGAGTCCAGAATGGTATCCTTTACATCAAATTTCACCAGGCCTCTTTGGACATCTTGACGGGTTTGCAGAACAACACCCTCATCTTTGGCAAGGAACAGCCGAAGAACAAGAGGAGGAAGAAGAATGCAGAGGTAGAAGAAGAATTTCAAGGCTTCAACTACAAGAGCTTCGTGAAAGGGGATGCCGGTGAAGCAAACATCGAGAACCTTGGTTTTGTTTTTGTGATATGTTGATTTATTTTGTTATTATTTTTGTTTTGAGACTCCTGGGCAAGTTTGGGACTCCTGGACAAGCATGGACAATCTATGATAACATGTACAGTAATAATATTCTTTTTTGGATGGGTTGTTTTTCTCTGCTTCACTTTCTGTGAGGAAATTCTTTCAGATTTTACCAGACGCTTTGAAGAAATTCGACATTGAGATCCTCAATGACAAGAAGGAAGTGAAGATTGACAAAAGCTATCACTCGTGGCAATCCATTTGCAAGCGGGCCCCGAACTATTTTGAGATCATGTTGAATGGAAAGCCGGCCAAGGAATACCAGTCTACGGTATTCAATCAGCTTTATATGATCTTTCCCAAGCCTGGCTCCACGGACATGAAGTCCAAGGTTCTGACTTTCATTCGCCGTCTTGATGGTGTCGCAATGCCCATCATTATGTATTGATTCGATGGTTGTGAGAAGATCACTGGGGTGCGCTGTGGTGCGCCCTAAAATGGGCAGACACCATCGGAATTCAGGTAATTTCCAAATGCAAAATTTCTAAAGTCTTGGCTGCTGTACAGCGTCTCTGTGCCGAGGGGAAATATCAGAAAACGCATGAAAGAAACCAATGTGTCGAGAGTTGCTCAAACAAATGTTCACCCATGTTCAACCAATTTCAACAATGTTTCATTATGCTCCATTTTTTTGCATGCTGAGGCCTGCAGAGAAGAATTAGCAGTCATCTGCATATTTATGCAGATTTATGTGCAAGATTTTCAAGGGGGAAGAAACCAAAAACCGAACAGCTGACAGAAAAAAAAGAAAAATTGGATTGACCACAGAGCACAGCCGCTGCATACTGCTGCTGTTTTTTGTTTCGGATGGTTTTGGCACAAGCATGCACAAACCTTCATACACCTTCTAGCTTAGTTGTATAGTTAATCTTAGTTATATCATGTTATATCATATTACATCAACAAATTCAGAAAATAAAACCTCACAACTGCATCTTACATTTTTTGGGCTTCGATAGCTGTTTGCATATAAAACCTCAAAATTGTAAGCTACATTTTTGAGGTTTTATTTGTTGATTTGATTGATTTAATTTAGTTGATATCAATAGTACAAACCTGAAAATGTAATATTACATTTTTAGGTGTTGTATTCCTGATTTGAATATGATAGCTAAAATATGATGATTTTTGGGACATTAGTGTTTTGTGGGACGTCTGCCTTCCCGA